TTTTAATTCTATATAAACAGACATAATTTCTTGTTCAGTTACAAAGTTTCGCTGTTCAAGTCCTGTAATTGCTGTGCCAAGAATACCGATTAACTTGTCAATCGAAATTTTTTCATTTTCACTAACCTCTCTGTCACTTTCTTCATGCCTTTATCCATTTTTTTCAGCAATTCCACTTTTTGTTCGATGGACATCGAAACATACTTTCACTTTGTAGATCCTTTGGGAGCTCCAGCATCGGAAATTCTACTTGACATAATCGAAAGTTCAAGCTTACTTTTATAAAATTGCTCTAACAGTCTACAAAAAATAATAAGCCGGATCCAGTTCATAACACAATCTGCAACATTAACTGAAATAGATGATTAGATAATTTTAGCTTATACCATCCGTTACACATTAAACGCGCATGCGTAAACGTATTATGCACTTGTGCACATGCATATGCGCAGTCGGAAAGGTCTTACGCGCATGCACATGCGTCAATGCGACGCATGCGCTGAAAGTTTGTAGCTTTGAGGTCCGGATTATAGATCATTCCGGATTATGGATGTCCGAATTAACGACTTTTGACTGTATTAAGTAAAATTACAAGGAAATAAAGCATAACAGAAAAGTAATAATATCTGCTTATTTCTAACAGCAGGATTAATTTGATAACATTTGATCCAGGTGATCCACTCCTTCCATTTTGTTGTTGTAATATTTAACAATTATTGGTTTTTTTACAGTTCTTTTCCGTGTTTCAACATCAATCATAGAGTTATTATGGACTGTACTCATCAAACGTATATCCTTCTGCTCTTTCCAATTCACAACCTCATTTTTCTCTTTTTCTGCTGAGCAGACATTTAAGATCTCTCACTGTCTTATATCTTATGTAAAATGGCGCAAATATTCATAAAACCCGTGGGGGGGGAGGAATTAAATTAGAAATAGAATGCCTGATTAATATTGCCCTCTAGGAGGTATTAAAACAAACAAAAATAAAACCTCAAACAAGTAAACATTTAGAAAGTGTTTTAAACGTTTAAAAGTTTTAAAATGTAGAAGAACGCTTGAAGCGCATTACAGACAATGAAGAGGTTAATAGTCAGAGGGTTAAAAAGAAGAGTAGGAAAACTTCAAACTTGCACCCAATAAGTAAATTTTACCTTATTATTTTAATACATCGAGTTTGCTTCTGTAATTGCACTTGCTATTATATTTCCTACTCGAAACACTGCATAGTATTTCAAATTTGTAGTTTTTATTTTTTTTAGTTTCCTTATTCTGAGAAATAGGATTTTTTACAGTTATGAATGGTAATATGCATAAACAAGAATATGATGTCATTTAGGAATTTTAGAAACAATGAAATGAAAGCTGTAAATGACGTTCATATGTCAAGGGGGAAGACTTACTATTTCTTAATTAACTGCTTGGCTGATTATTCCAAGTTATCTCAGATTCGTATATATTGCAGTTAATTATTATCCTGAGAAAACTTGGTTGAAGCAAAATTTGTCAGTGCGATTTGTTTTATCACAGTTTTACTGAGCCTGGAGGAAATGAAAGAAAATATTCAGCTTTGATTGGCAGTCTGCCACGTTTTGTTCATTTGATGGTTCTTTTGGTGGGACTGGTCACATATTTTCCCTATTGTATAGAATATGGCAGCTTGTGGAATATATAAAGAAGAATAGTTGCACTGAAAAAAGTTAAAAATAATGGCGATGATGCAAGATAGCGAAAGCAATGATTTTTCAGATAGTGATTATAACCTCAAGGCATTTTCCCGATGTTATTCCTGTTGAAAAAAAATCAAATCCAATGAGACAGTGTGCACCCATAAGAGATTCAAGAGGTAAGCCAGTAAGAAAAGAGACCAGATACCAGTGTACAGAATGTCAGGTGTCACTTTGTGTTGTTCCGTGTTTGAAAAACTTTCACACAAACACTAATATTTAACTTTTTCCATCAGTTTACTATTTGAGATAACTCGGGATAGTAAACTAATATTAAAACTAAATGCTTTTACATCTGTAAAAAATTAAAAATTCAACTTAAAACCTACATATTTTGTTTTGTTTCGTTTCCTTGTATTTAATAATAAAATAAAAAAAAAAATATGATTATTTTTTGCAATTTTTTTTCAAAAAAATTTGTAAGGGAAGCAGTTAACTGCTAACTTGATATTTTTATTAATAATGAAGATTGTCTACTTAATATTATGTAGGGAATTGTAATGTGTAGTAATAAGGTCAGTTTGTGAAAAGGGTGCAACTAAAATGTTCCATGATATGAATTTAAACTAAAAAAAAGTTTTTATTTTTATTATTGCAAAAGTTTAAACACATATTTGAAAATATTGAAGTTCTATGGTATGCGAGACTGCAACATTATTTACCATTTTAATAAATGGTAGAACTGAACTATTCTATCATGTTAATTTAAAATAAACAATTTATTCTGCATATTTTCAGTAAAACCAAAGCTTAGCTTTTGTTAGAAAAATAAATTTAAAATAAAGAGTTTAATGTTAATTTAGAATAAGAAGCAACTGATTATTGCTATTTTCAAAAGAAAATATTAAATTAAACACAGTATAATATGCAAAAATACATTGTGATGCCACAAATTTAGTCCCACTCATTTATGACTTCACCAAGTTCTGTTTTGGCAGTTTTGCTTATGCAGCGCATTCTGAGCTTTTATCCACTTGCAATAAATTCTTATATCATTATTTTTCATACTTTCCCATATATCTGGAAAATATTTAAATAAATTTGGGTACTTTTCCGTTTCGCCGGCGCAAATCTCGCCAAGCAGACTTTATTGGCGACAACATACAGTATAGACATAAAAAATATTAAAAAATGCTAGTTCTAAGAATTCTTTTTTTGAAGGCATAAACATTTTAGTATCGCTTAAAATTTTATAAAAAGCCAATAAATAAAGGCAATAAATTTGTAAAAAGACATTAATTTAGGAATTTACTATGCTTTTTCATGGTTCAACATCCTGATTTGCCGGTTCCTATCACGTGACCCGAAGCGATCTCATCTCACGTAAACTACTCTACAAAAATCTAATGCTCTCAGTAATGATCTACATTAATTTCAAGTTAAATCTTAATTTGGAACTCAAGTTTAAATGCAAGAAATATTTCTATTCGTACAAATAGCTTACTCAGAAATTATGTAAAACTGCAGTGCTTTACTTCGCTAATGCTTTTCTCATTAGAATTGATGAATTTTAACCCTTGACTTTACCTTTTCTATATTTTCGGCTTCGGGTAAGCGATGTGATTGCATCCTAATTGACTTAATTACTGAAAATGGCCTTAGACATAAAACTGAACTATCTGATAAAAATTCTATGTAATATATGCCAGTATTGAAAGAAACAATCAATCTGATAAGAAAAAACTGCGACTTGTTTTGAAAATGAGGTGTAAAAGGTTACCCAGCGAGAATATTCCGTTCGGCATCGGTTGTACCATTTATTGGCGACTTTATCGCTTGCGCCGGCAAAACAGAAAAGTAACTAAATTTGTTTACAATCAGTGCCTCCTATATAAAAGATACTATTCCAAATTCTCCTAATGGTCCAGATGTGACAACTTTTTATCTTCTGACTAACATGATTTGCTTTAATGCTTATCCCTTTTCTATTAGAATCAGTAATTCTCCAGCGTTTTCTCTTTATGACTCCTGACAACACATGGGCAAAGAACATTTAAACACCTGCTCTGCACTTCATAATTTTTACTCTGTCACCTAGAATTACTGGGAAGCAAGTCAGCTAATGGCTTAAGTATCAAAAGCCAAGCATTTGAAAATGAATAAATAATCATTATCAAACCTTTTATAATTTTTGCTCTTCCTTCTAATACATTGTATGCTTTTCTTAGTAGGGTTGCTATAGGCAAATATTTGTTTAGGGAAATCCAAATTCATCAAGTAAAAAAGAATTAGCCAAAATAATGGCTTTAACTAAAAAATAATCATTTTTCAAATATTTTCATACTTCTGTTGCCAAATATATAATGTTTAAAGATACTCCATTTTTAAAGTGGTCACTACGTACACCTTTTGTATAGTTTGGTGAATAACATTTGTGAATCAAATAAAATGCACATTACAAGTTTGTTGGTTAAGTTTGCTGGTAAAATCCTAGTATACGGTGCAGCTTTGGTGCGATTTTGAAAATTATCAGCGACACCAAAATGACCCGTTTAACTACTCATGGTATATGTCCTGTTTACTGCTCATCATAAAGTCGCCAAATCCCTTGTGCACCGGATACTAGGATTAAACCAGTTTGCTGATTTCAATGACAAATGGTGATAGTTGCTTTAATAAGAAAGTACCCATTTAGGTCTTATTATTTATACTAATGGCCAAAATTATTTTAAATATAAATTAAGTAATATTCATACATATCCTATTATAATTTAAATAAAAACAACTTAAGGTGGATATTAACTGCAAGTTTAAATGTAAGTTATAATACAGATGTGGCAATAAAAACTATCTTTAATTCACCATTAATCAAAGATAATATAAGCATATACCATCTAGAAATTTTTAATACCTAGCTAATAAAAATCAAAAGTGTATTTGAAAAGTAAATTAAAATCACTTTAGACAATGTTTTAAACCTTGCAATAATAAAAAAAAAAAAAAAAAAAAAAAAAAAAAAAAAAAAAAAACAGCTAAATATACTCAACTACATCAAGCAAAAAAGATTGGCTGGTTAACATATCACTGAAAAGGTGGGTCAACTGATAGATTGCTCAAGATATGAATATAATTCTCCTTTTCACACTCTTATTTCCTGTTATATGACACTCAAAATGCACTACTAATTAACATGCATTTTAATCACTAAAGATACATTAATGCTTCAATTTCCACTTGATTCTATTATTCAGTATTAAAAGCAAGTATCTTCCCGATATGAAATAACAGTGCTTTTCAAATAGCTTTAAAAGCCAAAATGCTGAATGTACTAACCTGATCAATTGTTATCTCTCCAATTACTTTACTTCCATAAACTTCTCGAAACTCTTTAACTTTCTTTTGATGCTCCACAATTGCTTTTGCCATTACAGACTTTAGATCCTAAATTGAAAAATTTCATTTCACTTAGATCATACGCAAAAATTTTGTGTGCTTTAGTATTATACACTAATATTCTGAATTTTCTAAACATAACAACATGTATATAAAAACTACTTAGTTAAAAATTAGTTATATTATTGAAATCACAATTAATATTTGAAAAAAACAGACTATTTTTTTTTTTCAAAAATAAATAACAACAATGCATAAAATTTACAGAATTTTCTGGATACTATAAGAAAAAAAGTAAGTTTCTTCTAAGAAAGTGAAGAGAAGAAAAATTTGCATTTGTAGCAGAGATTAAGAATACACCATGCAATTTCTTTAAAATATTTTTAATTTCAAATTAATTATATCTTATAAATCCACTAACCGTAGTATCTGAGGTATTTCTTGAACATATTGTGAAGAGAGGCCCTAGACGCTGAAATTAAATAAAACGTGATTTCAGTATAAAAACACTGAAGAAAATACACATAAACCATTTTATAATAAGTTAAGAACATAAACGCGAAAGCAATATAGACTATTTTATTTACAATTTTAACATAGTATCATTTTCTGTTACCCCCTTTTTACCTTCAAGTCCTTAGTATGTGATAAAACCGATAAGAATTTACAGAGAGCCATTTTTAGAAAATAACTTGACTCCTTAGATGAAAAATAGTAAACACACAGTACAGTATGCTACATTCAACCACGCCAACGATTATCAAAAGCCGATCACTCGACGTCCACGAGTTCTCTCGCCGAAAGAGATAAGGTAAATAAACACTTTCTCACCTATATACATCTTGATGAATAGGATTAAATTACTGGAGCAGCTACAGTTTTCTTCCTAGAGAAACATAGAAATTATTATGAATATTAGATGGATAAAGAATATACAATTTAAAATGATATAATCAAAACAATATGAAGAAATTAATTTTAAAATGTTATAAAAATTACTGATGGAAACATAAATATATATCCCACATAATCTATAAGCAGTTGATTTAAATGGAAACCGGTTTTCACGACAGATGACTCAAGCACACAAAAAAGAAAAACAAGCTCGGTTAAAATTTAAAACCCAGTCAATGTTTTATAATTTTTTATTTCATATTAATTAACATTAGTTAATGAAAGTAGAATACGAAAGGTAGCTTTGATAAAGGTACAACATTGTTAAAAGTGTTTTTCTATAGCTTAAAATCCGTACGTAAAAATGCAAAGCGGATGCTTATTTTAAAATGAACTGAAGTGAAATGTTTGTGCTTTTCTAACGCATGCGCTTTATGAGTATTACTCATTTTTCTGACATCAGATCAGATTATTATTGGAAGGATATTATAATGCATGAATGAAGGGGTTGTGATGTTTGTGTCCGGTATTTTCAGGGATTATGAGTTCCTCGATTATAAGTTGTATATATGTCGTATATTTAAATGTGTATAATGCCTGTGTTTGTCACTTGGAGTGGAAAACTTGAACACTAACTAGTATTCGGCATTTAAAAAAGTGTTGCTTATGGTGATCGAACTGCCGAAAACATCTAATGCCAGGATGGGCAACGCTGGGTCTTCTCGTCAGAGTACCTGTCATCAGAGAGTAAAACAGTATCCTGTTGACAGCATGAAAATGCCCATGCCTGAGCAAAATGAGTTGGAAAAAAGATTTACTAAAGTTTTGGTAAGTCACTCTCTCTTTATTTTGAAGAGTATGTGGCTTGAGAGAAATGGGTGTGATCTTCGTCAACATTCAGGGAGAGAATAAATGATAAAAAGTTGAAGTAACATATAATTAATACATATTAATCTAAAACATTTAAGAAACTTTCCTATTAAAATATTACATACTTTTTAAATATTCAGATGGAGACTTTAATCGTGTGTTGCAGAATCACTGCGTTGTTTTGGTATTTAAATTGCCGGTTTTAACGATTTCTAAACAAGTAACCATGTAAATGTTGATAACGTTAAATTAGGTGGAACTGCCCATATTTATATTTGAAGTTGTATAGTTTTCCGTAGCTTTATTTTTGCTTTTTAAAGCAGTTTATTTCATTACTTATTGTACCTTCATAAATTTATGTATGTAAATTCCATAAATTTATATAGAAATTTTTCTGCAGTCTTGTTATACAATGCATGCTTTTTTTGCATTCACATTTAATAAGTGCACATGTGTATATTTACATTACAAAATTGCCCTATAATTGCAACCTTCTTAAATGTGTGTAAAGTTGCTACTAGTAAATTGTTCAAAATATATTTCAATTTTGTATGTATATATATATGTGTGTGCTTGCATGTGTATGTGTTTGCATATATCTGCGTTAGAATATTTTCCTTTAAATTCTTGTTCTCCAAACTGTAGTTTTTTTTACATAATGTTTAATAAGCGTATTAAGTCAACATATGTGCAACATAATATTTAATAAATATAATCAGATCAGCTTTATATTAAAAGGGAATATGTTTACATAATTTTATTTCACAATACATTAAATTTGTCTTGTTTAAAACTTCATATGTATCTTAATTTGGCTTTCAAACTAGCTCAGCAATTATTTGAATAAGCAGTTAAAAATTTTATTCAGAATTCTACTGTTTTTAAAACAATTGAATGCCTTTCTTATTGCGGTTAGTGATGTTGGCTGCTGTATTGATGCACCTAAGTTCAAATCCCATTAGAGGCATGGATAAATGTATAGTGTCCATGTGGCATGAGGGCATTTAAAATACTGTCAAGACAAAAGGCCTCTCAAGTGGTTTAGTAGTAGGGAAGAGGGGTGAAAGGTCTTCGAATTCATCTCCATGGGAATTTTCAATCAAACTAGGGGTAGAGCTGCATAAGTTAACTTAGTGGGACTGTTTGAACATTGTGAAATTCTGGCATTCCTGCCCACTTATACCTATTTTTTTTTTGTTGGATAAGTTTCTGACATGATTGTCATCCCAAATATCAGAAATATATGTTTATTAGAATTGTTTGATTGCTGTATAATTTTCTTCTCTGAAGAGGAAACTGCACTATGTTTTATAAATATTTTAATCTGAATCTTCTTGGAACTGAATTAAAAAATAAATAAGTAAATAAAAAAATTAACACTTTTTTATATCTTTTCTTTGTTGATGATGATTGTTATAATTTTGACTTATTTTATATGTGTTGTGACCAAATCTGGAAGTCTGGCCTTTTCTCGTGAGTTGTTACTAATGGATTGGTTGTTGAAAGATGTCGGGTCTTTTTTAAATTTTGGAAGAAGGTTAATACCCAAACTTATGCTAATAACCATTTAGAATGTCATACATGGGTGATGTTGCTGGAGTATTTGTTTTGTTCAACAGGTATTAAATGTTGAATAGTGCTAATATTTATGTAGTTCAGTCATGCAAGGTTTTTGAACCTTTGTTAGTTAAGACAGAAAATTCCATAGTTACTAAAGTGAAAAAACATTGATGAAACATTTGATGGTAAAACAATTAAAATTTCAGATTCACAAAGATTCATAAGATTTCAAAATGAACCCCCACAGCCACATCTTTCCTCCATTGATTTCTATTAATTAAAGGATTTAATCATATGAGATGCACAACTAACAGTGGGAGAGATTGCCCAATCTCAAAATATGCACTTTTCATCTGTTTCCTAGCACTCGGCAATAATAGGAAAAGAAATTAAATTTGATCAGTGAATGCCTCCAGTTTCTTCAATGAAACAAAGCATGGAGTTCGGAAGTTACAAAAGAGATCCTGCGAGAAATTGGGCTAATATATAAGAAGTAGATGTTTGTTGCAGTGGTTGGAAGCAAAAGATGTTTCAGGAAGGACTTGCATTCTAAAAAGATGTTGTTTACGGTATGACAATTTTATGCTGTTATTATTCACTACTCATTCATTCCTTGAGGGGAAATGATCATTACTATATAGTTTTGTGGCAAATGCATGATAAATCTTGGCATTTAATACTGGACATTTATGAATGAATAGATATGAAATCCTGTTCTTTCAGTACTATAATACCTAACCATAAATGGTAGTGTCAAGTGTGTAACAAATAATCAATTTGGGATATGAAAGTGTGCTTCTTTCATATTATGACATTTCTTTAATGGATTACTATTTTTTATGATACTTGAACCTTTTCTGGCTGATTTTTGGAATATAGTAACTGGTAGTTTGGCGACATTTTGGAGGCGATAAAGGTTCCTACCTAGGACTTTGGTAATAATGAGAAGTACTCAGTTCCGATTATGCATTATGTTGTGTGAGGGAAATGAGAGATCATGTGATATTAATGGACGAATTACAGTCCTTTAATCGGAAAAGAGGGGGAAAATTTGGAAAAATATCTGTAGCAGTAATATTATTGTATTAAGCTTCATTGTGTTGTGTGAAGTAGTGTTGATAATTTTTGGATTGCATGGCGCTGTTCTAAAAGTGAATTCTAAATTTTAATGCGTTTATCTGATAATTCAAAGATTGGTGAAGGTAAGCTTTTTTATATTTACTGTTTGTTATTGATATTTTAAAGTGTTTTGAATTTCATTATATTTTAATTATGATAGTTATTTTGTGAATTATATGTTTGTAGGATTGGTTATGTTTGGTGGAAAACGTGCATGGAATTTTAAATATTGACACTAAGTTTTGTAACCATTTGTAATGTTGCGGTATGATTCGTTGGTGACGTTTATAATATAATAATTTAGAGGTAAAAGTTTTTGGATATTTTATTTAGTTTTATGTGGAAAAGTTCATCTTTGAAAAGGGTAATACTTTTTCGCAATCAGGTAATTTCATATATGTTCTTTTTACCGGATTTAAAGATTCACAAAATTTTTCTGCATTTTCGTGAAATTTTTCTAATTTATGAGAAAAAAGCAGTGTACATGGATATAGTGAAGAGTGTGCGCAATGCCATTTTTGTGCAATTCTGGGATGTTTTTTAAGTAAAAATAGTCGACGTGTAATGGTTTATATTTTAATTAAATGATAGTTATTTTGTGAATATATGTTTGTAGCAATTTGGTATAATTCTTAGGAGTAAATGTGCGTGGAAATAATTTAAATATTTGACCCAGTATTTGAAACCATTTTTAATTTTTGCGTTGAAATTCGTTGGTGACGTTTATAATAGATAATTTAGAGGTAAAAGTTTTGGATATTTTTATTTATTTATACGGCAAATGTTCATCCTTGGAAAGGGTATATACTTTTTCGTGATCAGGTAATTTCATATATGTGCTTTTTACTGAGTTAAAGATTCACTGAATTTTTTTTGCATTTTCGTGCAAATTTTTGTAATTTATGAAAAATAGCAGTGTAATGGATAAAGGTAAGAGTGTGGCAATGCCATTTTTGTGCAATTCTGGTTTTTTTTTTAAGTAAAAATAAGTCGACGTGTAAATGGTTTTGTGTATGTGCTATTCTGAAAACGCGCAAGAGTTTGGGATTGTGCACTTTTTTTTCCCAATTTTTGCAGTTAATATTGTCATGATTAAGCATTTTGTTACATAAAATTCTAGCATAAGTGTAATTCGGCTAGTATTGTTGGAAAACGTGTTGAGTAAATAAAAAGAAAAAAGCTTTACTTCGTGAAGACAATATGGCGGCGAAAAAAAATAGAGGGTTGCTGTAGCAGAGTTGGTCACCAAAAAATCGCCAAGTTACCATAACCCAAAGATCAACCCCTTTTCTTTTCTTTTTTGATGAAAGAAATATTGGATTTTAACAAAAGATACCTGGGAATATCGTCTGCACATACAGTTCGCGTTGGCACGTTTAATCATATTTTATCAAACAGTTTCAGGCATTTGAAAGAAAGAAACTTGCTTTAGAAAACTGTGTTGTGAAATTTGTAAAAAAAATATCCTTATCATTAAGTACACGGGGTCTGAAATAGGACAATCACACATCCAAAATAGAACTATTATTTACTTCCAGTGCTCTTGCAAAAAGTCAGGTACAAAATGCCATCAAATCATGTGTACAGCTTTAGGTACTTATGTTGTATCATAGCACACTGTGAAGGGGTTTGTTACCGAAAGTTCAAAACCAAGGACTATGACATTCAAAAAGTAGAGTGCTCTGGCTGGCCTACTGATGTTGATAAGGCCCATCATCGACACCTTGTGGAAGAAGATCAGTGTACAACCACTCCAGAGCTTTCTAAAGAGTTTGGCATCAGTGCCATGTCCATTAGTCGTGCTGTACATCGCATAAACTTGATGTACAAGTTTAAATGCTGGGTACTGCGTAAGCTGACTCGAGCAGATAAGGACAGACGTGTTCGTGCCTGCACTAATCTGCTTGAATATCAACAAAAGAACAAAATTCTGGATTGGATCATCACTTGTGATAAAAATTGGATTTACTTCAACAACAGACTGAAAAGAGTGTTGGTGTGTACCCGGTAAACCTTTCAGTAGCGTTGCATAGTGCAATTTATCTAACAGAAAGATCATGCTTTGTATGTGGTGGGGTTGCCATGGTATTATCCACAAAGAGTATTTGGAAAAAGGTAAAACCCTCAACAATAACGTGTACAGCGAGATGTCAGTGTGTGTTGACACGTCTGTCAAAGAAACACATTGAACTAAATTCCGGCGCAAAAAGGTAATGTTCCATCAAGATAATGCAAGACCACATGTGTCTGGGTTCATCGGCTGGACTCAAATGGGATCT